CTTTCATCTTAGCCCCCTCTCCCACGGACGGCATTGACCTTTCCTTCACTCCTGCCACTGAGTTGGCTGCTTAACACTTTTCACCTGCTGACAAGCACAGGTAAGGGCCCCCCGCTTCCCCGGGAGTGGCTTGTAGCCCCGAGGGACGTGATCTGGCTCTCAGCCTCCGCGGGCGGACGCTGGCTGCGGAACACACACCTCGCGCCTCCACCTGCAAGAAGGGGAAGCATCCTGGGCCACCGAATTCCAAAGCTAAGGCAGGGAGATGTCCACGGTTGTCGTTGCAGAGACGAAGGCAAAGAGGGTTTGAGTTTCCCAGAGCATGGGAACGTGGCTTATCGCCTCGGGAGACGACGACTCCAAAACTCCAAAAAACACACACACACACAAAAAACCCAGCCAGCTGGGATTTGCAGTCCAAAAAAGTAATCTTCCCAAGCTCGGAGTGTTCTTTTAAGGCATGAAGCCATGATGTAGAAGAGAATTCCTGGACTCTGCACGGATGCACTTGTCATTGCAGGCAATTCTGACCACGCTTTCCGCTGAAGTCGGGGACCACGTCAATTCTCTATTTCCGGAGCCCCACCCCCACCCCAAGGAACAAGAACTGTGCTGCAAGAACAGAGTGCTAAGGCAGGAATCCAAATCAAAACATATATCCGCCAAGTGGTTGTCTAGTCTTCTCTTGTGTGCCTCCGGCATTTGGAGCGCTCACCGCCTCCCAAGGTCATCGGTTCTATTGTCGTACTGCTCTAACAGTTCAGAAATTTTTTTTCTGACTCAGCCCAAATCTTTCTGCAGCCTAGATCTGCTTCATTTTTTTTTAGCCATTCTGTGTTTCGACAAGTGCTTCTTCCCAATTTTTGGTTACGGAAGCTGGTTCTGACCTTAGGGACCGGCTTATAATGTTGTTGCCGGAAGATCAGCAGTTTCATAATTAGATGTTGGCAAACCCATGGGGCTTCTTCATTGTCCTGGAGCGACCGAAACCCACCAGGGAGCTACCCTGAATGCTACCTGCTGGGTAGGGTCTAGAGAGGGTCCCCACCCCGTGGAATCCTGGGATCGGTAGTTTAATAAGCGTCCCCCTCTGAACCACGAAAGAGAATGCTCCGTTCTTTCTCAACCAGGACTCTGTAGGATGGAATAATGGCTGCTAAAATGGAATCCCCTTTTTTTTCTTCATCTTTCTGGTGGCCCGTGGCATCCACAGAGCTCCCTTCTCACACATTTTGCATGAATGGACTCCCTCTTGACTTGTGATCCGAAACCCGCGTGCCCCTCTCTTTTTCAGTGGGGAAAAAAGCTCATTTTTAATAGACACCCCGACTCGAGACTTGGACCCCTCTCTGGCTTTCTCCACTGTCTAGCAAGATATGCAGCGTGTACTATAGAATCCTATCGTATGGATACCGTGGATAGCGTGGCAGACTAAGACTCTGCAGGCCTGGGTTCGAATCCCTGCTCAGCTGTGGAAACTCAGTGGGGGAGTGACGCTGGGAAAACTGCTCCTTCGCTTACCTTGAAAACCCTATCTGGGTCACTCGAAATCAGTTCTGATTTGAGGGCGCAGAAATACATTGTACTGGCTCCTATCGTACGGTATCCTGTGGTATCATATGTATAAAGATGTGTATAGTACAGATGTACCTGTTAAGCCACAAAAGCTTTCCATTACTTTCAAGGCAAAGGCATGTCTCATTTTCCCTCTTTCCTCAAATGCCTACCTATCACCTTCCCAATGAAACGTCTCCTCCAGAACTACACACTTTTTTTGTCCACACACAAATAACTGCACACATAAAAATGAAACTAAACTCACTCCCAGCCCAGTTCAAGCGGGCTCTGAGTCGCTGACGTTGATGGGACGAGGGCTGAGCCACGCGCTGGCAGCCCAAGTCAGACGTTCTAAACTCTTTGTTAAGATGCTCATCAATTTTTTAAAAAATATTCTTTGCCTGGCCTTTCTCCTTAATTGGGTTCCCCTGAAACAAGGACTCCGAAGGTGACGGCATTAAAATTAATGCATATTCTTTTATTTTCATTATAAAGTTAAACACATCTATGAAACATAAGTGGTACCAAAATAATAATTATTATTATTGTAATCATAATTATAACGGTAATAATTACAAGGTATTTCTATGCAGGTTGTCAGTAGAAAACGGGATAAAATGGAAAATGGGGCCATGATGCGGGACTCTGCACTCGTACGAAAGGACGCCACACAAATGAGGCGAATTTGGTGTTTGATGACACTGGTGTTTGATGACTCCAAAGCAGAGGCACAAAATGTCTGAGTACAGAAGAGAAAGGGGCTGACGAACCTTCTTCCCGGTGATCCTTACGAGCGCCCCCGTGAGCAGCCGAATTGCTGCCTACCAAGGTGACATATTCGGAGTTGCTGATTCCAACAAGTTGGAATAATTGTTTCCAAAGAGTTATTTCTGCAAATATATACTCTTACTAATATATACATTTATTCATAAAATAAATAATCATTAAAAAAAACCCATCAGACTTAACAAAATCTGAAAGAAAGAGAGTAAAAGTGACAACTCTGTACAATAGCTTTGGAATAAAGGGTTGATTTTTGCCGTGACCACAGGCAAATTGAGCAGGAAAGAGGAGCATTTGCTAAGATGCTCTGAGCCGGGCCGCCTGTTGTTTCTATTTATGTCAATAAGGGTTTTGCCAAAGGCAGAGTTCTGGTGGATTGAGCCCCACAGGTCTGACCCAACTGTTTTGTACTCTGCAGTAGGTGTGGGATTTTCGTATTTATATTTTTTGAAATACAGCTTCCAAAAGGCTGCAGAAATTCCCCCAGCCAAACTTCTGAGGGCATTGGCCAAAACAACAACACTCTTTTCCAAAGAATCTATTATCACTTTTAGCTAAGAAAGAACGTCTTCTGCCAGCTAGGGTGAAGACTGAGGAAGTGTTTAGGCAGAGTTTAAGCTCTTTGGGAACTCCAAGACATTATGGGTCTAAGTTGTTTCTTGAGAGGCACCCTATTTGGAACATAATAGGCAGAGAGACTCCCCGACCCATAGTGCCTTGCAGTTCCCTTAGAATTTAGCTTCACTCAGCTGCTCTCTCCATCTCCATCTTGCCTGACAGGAGCCATTATGAATCAGCTAAAAGGGATTATTGACACCTGAAAGGACAGGACTGAGTTTTTATTCGTTATGTTTTTGGCCTAAGCTCCCCAGAAGTCTTCAGGAATTACTCCAGCCAGATTCCTATTAGTGGCAGTCCACAATTTTCAAAAAATCTCATGCCTATCTTCTAGTTCCCTTCGGGTTCACTTCATCTAAAGTCTGGTTTTGGAAACGGAATTCAGAAACTGTTGGTGGGCAGTTTGCTACAGCTTGCAATCAGGTCCCTCCAGACGCACGTCACTCCTGATGAGAAGATCTGCTCTGGAAGAACCCAGTGCGACAAAGCTCAACATCAAAATAACCGAGATCATGGCCACTGGTCCCATCACCTCCTGGCAAATCGAAGGGGAAGAGATGGAGGCAGTGACAGATTTTACTTTCTTGGGCTCCATGATCAGTGCAGGTGGAGACAGCAGCCACGAAATTAAAAGACACCTGCTTCTTGGGAGGGAAGCAATGACAAACCTAGACAGCATCTTAAAAAGCAGATACATCACCTTGCCAACAAAGGTCCAAATAGTCAAAGCTATGTTTTTTCCTGTAGTGATGTATGGAAGTGAGAGCTGGACCATAAAGAAGGCTGACCGCCAAAGAATTTAAGCTTTTGAATTGTGGTGCTGGAGGAGACTCTGGAGAGTCCCCTGGACTGCAAGGAGAACAAACATATCCGTTCTGAAGGAAATCAACCCTGAGTGCTCACTGGAAGGACAGATCCTGAAGCTGGGTCTCCAATACTTTGGCCATCTCATGAGAAGACTCCCCAGAAAAGACCCTGATGTTGGGAAAGTGTGAAGGCAAGAGGAGAAGGGGACGACAGAGGACGAGACGGATGGACAGTGTCATCGAAGTGACCAACATGAATTTGACCCAACTCTGGGAGGCCGTGGAAGACAGGAGGGCCTGGCGTGCTCTGGTCTGTGGGGTCACGAAGAGTTGGACATGACTTAATGACTAAACAACAACAACATGATGGCATAAGGAGCATGTTATGATGATGCACATACTGCATCCTACAAACACACATCTGCACTCCTGAATATTGGTAGAACCGCACAGAACAAGAAGCCGATACACTGGCCTCCCACTGAGAGGGTGGTTTCCTGTCAAGTGGGCACGACAGAACGGAGCAGAGAGGGAAAATGAGGCATGTGGGTGATTTTCATCTTGCCTTCAGCTCTGAGGTGCTGGTGAAAATCATCTCTTCAGTGTTCCTAGTTGGCGTCAGAAGGAAGTGACTTTTAGCGCTGAAGGCAGCATTCCAAGAAGGATCGGGCCCTTTGGGGAAGATGGTGAGGGAGAGGGCATGAGTTAAATCCCTCTCCCCATTCACTGGGGTCCCCGTTCTCCTCAACAGCTGCTAGGTAAAAAAAAAAACAACAACGTAAAGACAACGAGGCACATTAGATGCATCCATGCATTTAACGCATGTTGTTGGGAGCTCAGAGCATAAGACCCTTAAGTGTTCTTAAGTCTCGCCGCCAGAGACTGCAAACCTGTGTTTGCGCAAGCCAGCTTGTGGGATCTTGGTGCCCAAGGAGGTCCTTTGCGAGCCCACGTCCTGCCGCCACGCTGTGTGGTGCATCGCGCCCAAATTGGGCAAGTGAGTAGGTAGCACCGGAGGCAGAAAATCTGGCAAGTTCCTCCTTTCTGTCTTCCTGGTGGTAAAAATATGGCCATCACAAGAGTGACGATGTAAATAACTAAATAATTCTCTCTCTCTCTAGCCAACGGATAAGGGACTAATGGCGGGGTTGTGGTGTGGCTGTCATAAATAAATACTAATAAAATGTAAATAACTAAATAATTATCTCTCTCTCTAGCCAACAGATAAGGGTGTGGCTGTCATAAATAAATACTAATAAATAAAAGCTGATGAACTGGGCCAAACGAGAGAAGGCGAGGGAGAGCTTCGAACCGTTTCCCACTGTCGCCGCCACCTCTCCAGGGACTTCTGAAAGTCCTTCTGAGATGCTGGAAAATGGGTTGGAGAGAAAGAGAGGGAGAAGGAGAGGGAGGCAATGGAATATGAAAGAAGCCAAAGTGAAGCTGCTCATTCCTTCTGGAACGTGACAGATCATATTCTTCTCCTGGTTGCAGCTGTTTCTGCCCGAGGGTGGATCTGAAGGGATTCCTTGCCTTCCCATCGTTTAAGCACATACCTCCTCAGCTCGATGGAAAAGGCAGGGAGGTTCACGTTGACTCCCCGTCCGGAGAGCGCTGGGGCCGAACTGTCTCTAGGGCTGTCATTTGCTTGTCACTGATCCCAGGATGTCTGCAGTTAAATCAGGGCACAATCCTGCCAGCTGTTAAGCAGTCATAAATCCCAGTTCAATAGGGAAGAGTTAAGCGTGCGCTTATCTTTTTCGCTGATGTAACTCCAGCAGGATCCAACTTGCCCACGGTTTTGTTCTTCCAGATTTATATCAAACCATTAGTTGTGTTTCTTTTTTGGAAGAGGGACCTGTTTTTTCCTACCCCCGGTAATTTGTCTCCACCCTTGTCCCGCTCTTAATATCTTGAGCTTCCAAACACAAATGGGACTCCTGCACAGAAGACAGGTTGGGTCTTGACCTTAGTCCAGGGGCAAGAAAGTCAAAAGGGCAGGAAAGTGTGACACATTATATAGGATATTCTATATAGGATGGAATCAAGACTGTTCCTCAGACTTAAACAGACTTTGAGAAGGTCTTAACTGTACCCAAGTTCATTTGGAATCATCCTCAACCTTAGCCGGACAGAGAACACTCTGAAGGCTTTTCCAAATGGAACAATTATACCCCCTTTTGATCTGAATTCTCCATTATGCTTATCAGGATTTTCCCCAACATCCAAATGACATTTGTGTTATCTTGTTTCACAATATCCCAATGACTTCCAAGGCTTTTTAAAATCCTCCCCAAATCCTGGGTTTATTCCCCCTGCACATTTTTGCACTGGTGTACCCAGTTTAGCGCTATGGTGCTTTTTGTGCAATTGAGCATAAACGCAGGATGTACACAAGGAACCAAAAAAACCCACATGGTATAGGGAAACACACATGAACAGTTCTTTAACAACACTGGGAATTTGCTGGACATGACCAAGTGGAAATACAGCACTGAGGTAGAGAAGCAGTTTGGTGCTAGACCACCCACCAGCTGCACACAGCTTCTGGTAAACCTCATGAACTTCCATCATTGAGCAAAAGGAAAGGAAAAGAGATATAAAGATACAAGTACTTGTTTGGAAGACCCTTAAGACTAACAAAACACAACACAACGCACTGGATACATTAGCTCTAGGCCTTAGCAGGCCCAGACATGAGTAAATGAGGGTTGAAATCTACTCCCCTCCATATTTCGCTGCCCAGTTTGTGAAAGGAGAGCCATTTCTGCTGCTTTGATGAGTTTGGATTAAGCTATTCTTCTCCACTGGAGTTTCTCCTGGCGTCTGATATTATGGCGTTCTCCAGAGTCTCTTTTGGAGGATGGCTCTGAGACGACTTACGCACAAGACCCCAAAACATGTGTGATTGTTGTACTGATGTCTATTCCTGATGGGTGTTTTTTTTAAGGGGGGAGGATGTTTTGTCTTTTCCATACCTGGGGTACGTGCAGGACTTTAACACCTCTAAAAACTAATCCTAACAAGGAGGGGAACCTTCTCATGGGGCTGCCCCCTTTTATCCCAGAAGACACCCTTCAATGATGGAGGAATTGGCCAGCAAAAATAATATCCAGCCTTGCATAAATTAGTTTTTGGACAACGCGGCCCAAGAATGCTCATGCTAGTATGGCCATTGGTTATGTAGGCTAGTGAACGGTGGATGTTATAGTCCAAGAAAACTATTTTTTTCTAACTCTGGATCATCTTCTTTTTTTAATTGGTTGGCTTCTTCAGTACACAACCCTTTGGAGTTAAAACATAGCCCAAAATATTAATTGAGACGTGTGTGTTGGAAAGACTTAAATCCCTATCTGTGGGCTTTTGTGGGCTCCAGTAGAAGTCTAAGACCAATGACGGTTTGTATCTACCGTCACTATGTCAGAACCCTAAGAGTTTCTTCTAAAAATGAGGCTTGCATGAAAAAGGTTGCCTGTCATGAAAACTTCCGATCTTGTATCTACTGAGGACATGAGAATCTGGAGTTTAGCCAAAGAAAGGCATCTAACGTCTGAGAAAGCGAGCCTGGGGCTGCTGGCCAGAAACCTGCCCGAGGTCTGGTCAATGAGTATCTAAGTAGGGTTTAGAAGATGACCCATGCTACGGACTGATTTTCCATTCACTGGACTACTCTGAGGCCAAACACAGTTTAATCCCTTCTCATAAGGTATGGAAGCCATTTTGTCACCCATCTCTTCACCCTCAAAGCTGTCTCCTGCGGTATGAAGCTCAACCCATCACAGGCTGGCCAACAAGTGGGACCTTACCTTCTTAACCCACTTTGACATGGTGGTTTTGCACACTGTGTAGACATGTCTCTGTGGATCCTTAAATGCATGGACGCCTGCACACACACACATGCACATGCGCATCATCTAACATGCATGCTGCGCAAGCGCCACTATGACACCTCACTTCCTGTCCCCCTCCTCTCGTGGCAGCAGATGTGTGGTGGATCCTCACTTCCTATAAATATGTTACACGGTGCCCCGCCCACTAGTTCAGGGAGTGAGGGAAACCACGCTTGCCCGTTTCCACAGGACAAAGAGTAATCGGCAAGGTCCACCACTTCCTGCAAGATTCCAAAAGGAGGGCTTTTAACAACACAGCATGCCAGCTGTTGCTAATGCTATATACATCATCACATAACTGTCGAGACACAGTGCTACAGGCTCGGCTGGAACACGAGAGTCGTCCGGCTCGAAGCTTCTTCCATGCTCGTAATGCACAAATAGGCCACGGTTGGGGAAGACGCACAACATTGAAAGGACACTTAACAGCGGGAGCCTCGCCGTATGCGTTGAGTGAGGGGGGGAAAGCCAAGATGGTTGAACCTCCCAGGAATCTGCTAGCCCTCCGCTCTCCGACTCTACGTTGCTGACTTAGTTCATGAATCCACCGCCTTCTGCAGGAATGACAGGGAGAGCTTCCCGGTTTCTTCACTTCTCCTCTTGCCTGGAGCTCCAAGGTTAGATCTCCAGATCTAAGTCAAGAAGAAAACAGATCTACTCTACCCAACCAATTTTAGACTCTCTCTGTGGTGTGTTTTGGGTTGGCGTGTGTACTCCCAGTTTCCATTCAATCTCGAAAAGTTGGCTTTTTCCCACAGAAAATGCGCCTGGTTCATTTTCCGTGCCCGGGGGGAAGGCCGTTTCTTTTACTTGCACGTGTGAACGTCATAGATCCGTATGCATTCCTGACAGCTGACGTAGCAACACCAGTGGAAGATGCAATGACATTTCTCTTTCCTCTTCTCAGTTCGTGTGTTGTGTCCTCGGCCGCAGCATAAGAGGTCACAGCCGTCGATCCCGTGAGAGGTGACATTACAGATCCTGTCACGGGTGCCGAAAGAGCCGGTTTCAGGATTCGGCTCGCAAAAGTTGGGCGAGTTCTCATAGTAGACCAGGTCTCTCTCGGTGGGCGCTTTAAAGAAGTTATATTTGGGCCTCAGCGTCTCTACCCATCCCCGAGACTCTCTGTGCTTCTCCACCACCATTTCGGAAGCACTGTCGTATTTATCTTTGAGGTAGTCTCCGATGACTCGAAAGTCCGGCTGGGACCACCAACAGGTCTTTACCTCGCAGCTGCCCGACAACCCGTGACACTTGCATTTGAGGTGCATGTGATCGATGATGGACTGGAAATGAAGAACAAATGGCCAACCAAGACAAAACAAGAGGGGTAGGAAGAACAGAAGAAGGAGAGACCATGTTAGCTTACAATGCGAGCAAATGTCCACACTGGTATCTAAAATCTCATTAGGGTTGACAGTTTCCAAGTCATTCAGTATCTTAAGATGTCTTCAGAGCAACACAAGAGCACAGTTGTTGGTCATTCAGTATCTTCAGAGCAACACAAGAGCACAGTTGTTACTCATATGCTCTCTTATCTAAAAAAAAAACAACTTTCCTATTCCTAGCACTTCTATGCTCATACTCATTGTGCCTCCTTGAGAAAGGCTGGACTCAGTGTTCCATGGAGTCCCTTCCAGCTCTGCAGTGGATGCCAGCACTTACTGTGCCCCCTTGAGAAAGGCTGGACTCAATGTTCCATGGAGTCCCTTCCAGCTCTGCAGCTCAAAGGTGGTTGCCATCATCATCATCATCAATTAGGTGCAAATTGACATGTGAAGTCAGCCCTGAATGTTTGCTTAGAACCATGGAACTGTTGTCAAGTCCAATCTAGGTCAGTGGCTGTCTAGGGTCATCTAGTCCAACCTATGCTAGTGAGTTTCTCAATATTCTGTACAGTACAATAGTTAACCAAGACTGCCTAAAATTCTGTAACACTGTGAAATGTGTAGGAACATCCAAGGTCATTAGACCCAGGACTCTCTCACAAGTTCTATTATATGTCACTCTTATTTACTGCTCTGGCTGCTCCGATGAGGAGGTTTTCCTTGACATGCCTGGCAGTGAAAATGTATGTATGTGAAGGAACTGTAGAGAAAAAGGAGAAAGAACAGAGTGAGCCGTCCCCTCAACTAGAGATGCCTGGGCTCAAAACAAGAGCTTGTTTTGACCTATAAAGCCCTAAATGGCTTGGGCCCCTGGATACCTGAAGTATCACCTCCTTCCATATGAACCTACCCGG